TTGTGCGTACCGTGCTATAGTATGTTGATCCTCACACAGCTCGGTCACTTTTACTTGATCACTTGTCTACAAGTACCTTAAGCTTCTGCCTCGGCTCTCCGCCCTGTGGGAATATTATGCGAGCTTCCGTGCACACGAAGAAGTTCGAACTGGTAAGGTCGGTGTCTCGTTTGACCCGCTATCCGATCTCTCTCTGGCTCTGTCGACCATGGCTACACGCAAGACGCGCTCGAGTACCAAGCCAGAGGAGCTGCCCGCTGCGCAGCGCAAGAAGCCCGGCGGAACAAGGGGCAAAGTGACGCGGGGGGCAACAAGTTCAGCCAAGGCGGCGTCTCCCGACGTGGATGGCGATGCGATGCCCTTGTCTCAAAGCGAGGAGAAGATGCTCGGGGAGCTTCTCAAACGAAGGACGGCACCAAGCAGAAACAGGTAGTGGAAAAACAAACTGGTGAGTGTGCAACGCATTACGGTCGTGATCGCTTACTTCAGTGCCAACGCAGCCGTGCGCAAGAGAGCGAAGGCGTTAGTTGATGCAGAACAAGCCGCTACCGAAGATGACGAAACTCAGCCGGCATGCAAAAAATCGAAGAACGTGGAGGAGCCAGCGAACGATGCAGAAGAGGAGGATGACGACCTCGAGGCCGACGCTCACATGGAGAGCCCTCGCCCGTGCATGGTCAGTAGCACCCCAACTATTACATTCGACTTTGTTCCTTACATCGCACATCAGCAACACGCGGTGCTACTAAGGAAGTGTCCAAGAACAAACGCAAGGACACCGCCGTGGTGTCCGATGAAGGCGAGCAGAGGATTGTTCAGTCACTTGGTAAATGTTTATTGCACGCATCGGTCTATCAATCCTTAACTCCATGCACAGGCTCTCGTAGGAAGGGTGGACTTGCGCTCAAGGATGATGAGACCGCATCCGATCAGTCGGAAGGCCGCGCCAAAAGCCCTGTCAAAACACCCCGTAAGGTCGGCCAATTGAAGAAGCAGGCCTTCGTGAGGATAGATGTTTCGGTAAGTCGCTAATATTGGTAAATTTGCAAAGTCCTGACCTATGGTCATCGCCGGAGGCGAAGGGCAAGAGCAAGGCAATCTCAAAGCTGCCCAGTACCGCGGACTCAGACGACGACGATGACGAACACTCGGGCAAGATCATATCTGACCAGAGCAGCGAGGACAGTGGGATTGAGGATTTTAGAGACGACGAGGATGGATCGGACGATGTCGTGGTGAGTCCGGTGTTGAATCTACAGGGAAGGTTATCGACATTGCAGCACAGGACGTGACACAATCAAAGGGAAAGAAACAAGCCACAGGAAAAGTAGCTCGGGTCAAGGCTCGTCCGCGAATCAAGGCGGGCAATCTGCCTGGCGATATTCGCCCTCTCATTAACGTCGCGCAGAACTGCCTCCGTCTTTACCTCACTCTCAACTGCGCGTGGACCAGTGACGCGACCGTCTCCAGCTCTCGCCTCAGTACCAACCTCGACGCTGTCAGCACTGCCCTGAAGGAAGCCCGTGACACGCGCGACAAGGAGGGGCATAAGGTGAAGACCCTGAAGAGCGGCTACAATATGTTGCAGGACCCCGAGGATGGCGATGAGCTGACGAAGAGGGTATATACGGTGGTGAGTGGTCCATCTAAATAATCGACCGTTGACTGGACACACGACGAGCGGCTGCAGGTATGGACGACGGCATCGCAGTTGCGGAACGAGGTGAAGAAGAAAGCCAAGGCCGTCATTGAGCATGCGTACGGTATGAATACCCTCTCAACACAGCAACGCATGTCTATCGCACACTGGCTCCTTAAGGCGCACCCCATGAAGTCGAAGTCAACCAGGCTCGAGATTCCGAACTTCGTGTTCGGCGACATGCACATTGTCTGGCGGAAGGACCGAGTGGACACGAAGGTAAGCAGTCAGGGTTTTAGCACGTAGAACAATTTTATTAACCAATTGCACGGTGGACCCAGGAGAGCTTTGTGAAGATACAGCTTCCGTTCAGGCACCCGGTGATCGCGGAGGTTGTGGTGCAGCAGTGGTTTCAAGGCCATTCCGGAGCCAGTATGCCGGTGGAACGTTTCAGCGACGTGCCCGACAACTTAATCTGTCTCGTCTGCAATTCGGTGAGTGCTCTAGTCCCTAGTTGTGAGATCCTGACAAAGACCCCGGTTGATCAAGATCGAGGTCGCGTTGAGGGAGACAGCGACTGGCACACCGGTCTCATTCTCCAACAAGCAATATGCTCCTAAGTAAGACTGTACCACTTACATGTTCACTGGCTAACGTGTTGACAGGTGGAATAATCTCATGTCGGTGCTCGGAGCCATATCCACCAGCGCCCCCGACTACTACCAGGACATGAAGACATTCCTGTGGAGTCGGATCAGGTATGTCCGTCTGAGACTTCTAGGTCAATACTCACTAATATCACAACATCCCAGCACCCGGATCGAAGGCAAGGGTGTGGACACGTCCGAAGACGAACAGGACCAGGACGGCAATTTCACGGACTTTGCGGCTGAGCTCCGGAAGCTCGTCAAGCCTGCGTCTACGTCCAGCACCCCGGCGTCTGCGAAGCCATCTTCCTCCGCGAAGCCATCTTCCTCCGCGAAGCCATCTTCCTCTGGGAAGCCGTCCTCTTCTGCCAAGCCGTCGTCTTCCGCGAAGCCGTCCGCAAAGCCGTCCGCGAAACCGTCCGCCAAGACATCTGCCATTGCTAAGACTTCGACAACAAGAGCGGCGGTCACGCAAGGTAATGCTAGAGTCGTCTTGTGCACAATAAGGTTCTAAGAATCTCGCAGACAAGGACCGTGACTCGGATGCTCATGAACAGCCATCTGAGATCGACGAGCTGGGTCCTGAAGGCGATGATGGAAAGGGGCGCGAGAACAGCGGTGGTAAGGATCTTTTACAACTTCAAGGCAACATTTTGACGACATTATCACACGTAGACAATCAGCCTGAAGAGCAGGATGATGATGTTGTCAAGTGAACGCCTCCACAAGTTGCTCGCCAGGTCTTCCAAGGGTATGATATTTCAAATCACCACTTAACTACGGGCTCGTACGACTGATTCTGACCGACTTTTCTAGGTACAATATTATACCAATGTCCGTCCTCAATACCTCAAACCTTGGAAGGAAGTTCTCAGTTCTCGGAGTTGCGCCACGCGCGGTTCACGAAGTCACGGTGCACGTAGTAGTACTGCATCGTCTTTAGTTACGTTTGTTGCTCATCCTATCCACAGTTGTACTTGTAGTAGTAGCTAGAGTGAATGTGTCCGTTGTCAGTCAATGAATATTTTGCCCTGGTGGTGAATATAAATCGGGGTGCCACCGGTGCACGGGATTGAGTTGCACCCTTTTGGCTAAGTAAATTAGCGGTAGCAAGTCACGTCTTTGAAGCCCTTGTTAAGGCTCTCTGTGCAGTGGACAACACAAAAACTATGGCTTTAAAACAAGGGAGACAAGTACATGAGCTCACTTTACGACCTTAGGAATAGACAGGTAAGTAAGTCACTTGTCTTTAGACCTTGTGTGCCTTTTCTACCTTGAACAAGGCATACAAGACAGCTCATTTTTTCCTGATGACAGTGACACAACACAACGACCTGAACCTGTCACACCGGTGCGTCACTTCCTTCCTTCTTCTATGCTCAGTTTTCAACATATTTTGTACTAGCAATGAACCAAACCCACCCCGCCGACAAAGATATCCAATACGTCGGCTTCTTCCGGGTCGACATCGAGAAGAGCAAGGTGCACAGCACCAAGCTCGAAGAAGACGGCCTTGTGTATACCGGGTACAAGAACACCCAGGACTACTCTAACTTCCCTCCTCCTCCCATCCAGCAACGTGCACCAGGTCCCATCGTCATTGACTTGGTGTTGTCAGACAGCGAAGACGATGAAGCGCATAGTAACGCGGCGCCCAATTTGAGCACGTCGGTGAGTCTTGAGTTTTTTGATATGGACAATGGTCGAATCCTTGACAGCGTACCCTCGCAAAACGCGCCGCTCCGGCAGAGACGAGTGTCCGTCGTACCAGCAAACGGCACAAGAAGGACGAGGAGGACGGTGGGCCGGTGAGCAATCCCCGGAAAGGGAAAGCGAAGCAGAAGGCAGGCAAGGCGGAGGGCAAAGGGGACAGTCGGCGGCCAGCACGCCCCGCTGCAGGGAAGTCGAAAAGTCGCAGGGGGGGACGGAAGCCTAGGTAGAGAGTAAGCAACGTTGAGTACCCAATCTAATTGTTTGTCCTCTCCTTCATCACGCCCTCATCGGTCTGCCCGCTCGCTTGCGCCCCCCCCTTTTCCTGCTCGCCCATTCTTGCCTGGCGTCCCTCTGGCCCGCCGTCTTGCTCACCTGTCATCTCGTCTGTCGTCTCGCTCGCCTCATGCTCACTGGCCTCATGCTGGCTCGCCCTCTTGCTCGCCGTCGTCTCATCTGCCCTCTGTGTCGCTCGCCCTTCGTCCGTCTCATCTTCCTGCTCATCACTCTCGCACTCACCGACGCTGGTCGACGGTCCTACAGTCTATGTCGGGATTGCGGAGGGTCATTCTCCACGCGGCTCCGGAGTTCACTCTGCGGACGCGTATCTGGGCCTCACTCCGTGCACAGACGCCCTACCGTACCGTCTCCGGCATGATGAACTATGCGAAGGCCATCAAGCTCCTCTACCGTGTCGAGAACCCGGAAGTCGTTCAGCTCTTCGGTGGAAACACGGACAAGCTCGAGCGCGAGCTGGAGCGTATGGCACGTCGCAAGTTCAAGTTCGTCGTCTCGATGCAGCGGTACTCGAAGTTCAACCGGGAGGAGCAGGAGAACATTGAGTTCCTCCTTCGTGCATACCCCGACCTGCAGATCGCTTATCTCGAGGAAGAGGTGTCACGCAAGGAGGGCGGCAAGGTACACCTGTTCTCCGCACTCATCGACGGGCACTCCGAGTTCATCCCCGAGACTGGCCGTCGTCGTCCGAAGTTCCGCATCAAGCTCCCCAGTAACCCCATTCTCAGTGACGGAAAGTCTGACAACCAGAACCACGCGATCATCTTCTACCGTGGCGAGTACATCCAGCTCATCGATGCGAACCAGGACAACTACCTCGAGGAATGTCTCAAGATCCGTAACGTCCTCGGTGAATTCAACGAGTACTCTGTGTCGAGCCAGAGCCCGTACGCGCAATGGGGCCAGAAGGACTTCGTTCGCAACCCCGTCGTGGTTGTCGGTGAGCCAGAGTACATCTTCTCGGAGAACATCGGTATCCTCGGCGACTTGGCCGCTGGCAAGGAACAGACTTTCGGTACTCTCACTGCGCGTTCCCTTGCTTACATCGGCGGTAAACTGCACTACGGTCACCCTGATTTCCTCAATGCGCTCTACATGACGACGCGCGGTGGTGTCTCGAAGGCTCAGAAGGGTCTGCACCTGAACGAGGATATCTACGCCGGCATGAACACGTTCGGTCGCGGTGGTTGCATCAAGCACGCCGGGTACTACCAGTGTGGCAAAGGACGTGATCTCGGTTTCGGCACCATCCTCAACTTCCAGACGAAGATCGGCACGGGTATGGGCGAGCAGATGCTCAGCCCAGAGTACTACTACCTCGGAATGCAGCTGCCCATCGACCGTTTCCTGATGTTCTACTACGGTCACCCCGGTTTCCATATCCATAACATGCTGGTTATGTTGTCCCTGCAGATCTTCATCACGACGAGTAAGCAGGCCCCATTGTTCACTGCAACACATAGCTGACTCTTCATAGTGGTCTACCTCAGAACACTCGAGGGTCAACTGATGGTTTGCAAATACACATCGTCCGGCGCGTTCATTGGCGTGGCGGGCTGCTACAACCTCAGCCCGGTGTTCCAGTGGATTAATAGGTGTATCATCTGTATCTTCCTGGTGTTCCTGATCACATACTTGCCTCTGTTCTTACAAGGTATGATCATTTCAACGCATACTCATTTTTGAGTAGGATTAGTATGAGTCTGCCATGTACAACGTACAACTTAGATAGACTAAGAATCATATCAATATTTGCTGAGCTCGATCCCAAGACACTCAAGATGTGTAAGGATTTAGCCTTACTTGGGCTACCTGTAGTGGCTTGGTGAGAACAGCGAAGGACACCAGACATGCTTAAAAAAGTAAGATGGAATGGAAAGACGTCTTGCAAGGCTTATAAGTGGCTCAAGTCATACACATTTGCTGGGCAACCTGGTCAAGTCACCCAAGCAGCACCAATATTCCATTTGCCTTGGCCAAGCCGGCCAAGTAAAATGTGTTTTTCCTGATGTGTCAACCACCTCTATTGTTCGGTCTCGGACTCACTCGTCTCACTCTTCGCGCTCACCCACCCCCCTACCTTCTCAGTCTTATACCCACTCATCTCACCCTTCGCGCTCACCTACTCCCCGACCTCTTGGCATAATAATGTTCGACCATACCAGAAGGGAAGCACCTGTCACAGTTCAGGATACGAACTCCATGCAATCAGGTGAGCTGTCCAAAGTGCTGTCCTTAACACAGAGGGAACATCGGCTTATGCAGTTTAACTACTAAAGGAACGGAGGACAATTACCCGGACATCGTGCGGAAGGCTTTCGGAGATCGCTACTCTGAGCTTCCGTACGTGACAGGGGAAATAGTGAGTAT